TCCCGGGACCTGGCAAAGGCGCTTGTAGGGTTTAGGGAAAAGGGTGTAGGGTTTAGGGTTTAGGGTTTAGGGGTTTAGGGTTTTGGGTTTAGGGTTTAGGGATTAGGGTTTGGGTTTAGGGTTTAGGGAAAAGGGATTAGGGTTTTGGGTTTGGGGTTTAGGGAAAAGGGATTAGGGTTTTGGGTTTAGGGTTTAGGGAAAAGGGATTAGGGTTTTGGGTTTAGGGTTTAGCGATTGGGGTTTTGGGTTTAGGGCTTAGGGTTCAGGGAAAAGGGTTTAGGGTTTAGGGTTTAGGGAAAAGGGAAAAGGGTTTAGGCTTTGGGGAAAAGGGTTTAGGGTTAGTGTTTAGGCTTTAGGGAAAAGGGTTTCCGGTTTAGGGTTTAGGGGTTCGGGTTTAGGGAAAAGGGTTTAGGGTTTAGGGCAACAGTACCTTGAAGGCTTCCATCAGGGGGTACAGCCCTAAGCACTAAACCCTAAACCCTTGAAGGGTTCCTTCAAGCGGTACCTTTAAGGGTATCGTTAAGTGTTCCTTTAGTAGGGGTATCTTTCAGGGTATCTTTATGGGTACCTTACGGGTGCCTTTAAGGATACTGTTAAAGGCTTCCTTTAGGGTGGGATCAAAACGTACCACAAGAAACCCCAGAGAATCCAGCAATTACGAACCTTCCCCTGCGGTCTCCTTCATTTTGAGATGTGGTGGCAGCGTTCTTGGGTCTGCAAGCACCGGCGATATTGCCGCCGGTTATCCCGTCGACCCAAAGCCAACACATACATTTTGCAGGGTGTGGCGGGCGGGAAACGCAAAATGTCCCTACTTTCAATTGGCTGGGCCTATCGCCCAAGCCTGCTAAGCAGTAACTGCAACTGTGAGCACACGACACTGCGAGCAATCAAGCCATCGCACAGTCAAGGCCATGCAACCACTCACAGTCGCTCACACACGTGCACACACGCGTGCTTATCGCTATTTTTCAGGGTACTTTTTCGGGTTCCTTTCCTTCAGGGGTACCTTTAAGGGGACCTTTACGGATTCCTTCAGGGCGCGGGGAATTGGGGGTAGGGTTTCAGGGTTTTGGTGGTATTTTTGTGTTGAACGTTTCTGGGTTTTAGTTACAGTTTTGTTCGTTTTCAGGAAGGGGCTTTTGTGGATGTTTGTTTTGTTGAGGGCGGGTCCATTCCAGTCAGTACCCTTCAGTCTACGTCAGTGTGGTGCCCTGACATCTCTTTTATGCCGAGCTGCTCGTAATGTAGATCCCTGATTTACAGACCCGTTGCTCAATAAGTGAGAGTATTACAGAGGCCCTAGCAGTAAAGCGGGAACGCCTAAACAGAAGGAGTGCACAAGAAGCGGCTTCACTACAGACCTTCAAAACCCGAAACCCTAAACCCTAGACCCTAATCCCTAAACCCTAAACCCTAAACCCCCGAAGCCCTAAACCCCTAAACCCTAAGCCCTCAACCCTAAACATGGCTCTACATGCAACTGCAAAGGTGTGGACAGGAACTTGCGGAGGAGCTCCGGACATGGCAGAAGTCGTCGTCCTGATTTCAACAGCCTGCATCATAACACCCGGAACTAAACCTGAAATCCTGGACCTGGTTTTAGGGTTTAAGGGTTTAGGGGTTTAGGGATTCAGAGTTTAGTGTTTAGGGATTAGGGATTAGGGATTTAGGGTTAAGGGTTTAGGGTTTAGAGTTTAGGGTTCTTGGCCAAGCCTTCACGCCCTCATGATTGAAATCACCCCTTATAGCTTTGAGCCCCGGCCCTAGAACCTTCAACGCTCACACCAGCACTCAAACTGCCCGAAACTTGCAGACCCTAAACCCCAAAACCCCAAACCCTAAACCCTAAGACCCTAAACCCTGGACCTAAGACCCTAAACCCAAAACCCTAAGACCCTAAACCCTAGACCCTAAGACCCTAAACCCTGAACCCTAAGACCCTAAAACCCCAAAACCCTAAGCCCCCCTGAAGCGACGAATTCTGACGGAGGCTCGGCGCCGTGGCTTGCAAGGCGCGCCCGGGAAACCTGGACACTGAGTCTTAGCGGGGCTTGTCGGAGTTTGGGTTTGGGGTTTGGGGTTTAGGGTTTAGGGTTTAGGGATTCAGGGCTAAGGGCTTAGACTTTTGGGGTTAGGGGTTAAGAGTCTTCAGTTCGGGCTGAACGATTTAGTGCATTGAGGGTTTGGGATTTAGGGTTTGGGGTTTAGGGTTTAGGGGTTTAGGGTTTAGGGGTTTAGGGCTCAGGGGTTTAGGGGTTTAGGGTTTAGGTTATAGGGGTTTAGGAATTTGCGGCTCCTGTTCGGATTTAAGGACAGGGCTCAACTACACGGCTGTTGGGGTTGAGACATGCTTGGATGTTGGCAAGCGCCTGCGCTTGATGTTCGGTGAGGTGAATATTACCAGACACTGACGGTGCAGTTTTGCCGCTTTCGACATCATCCACGCCTCGTGTCAGGACAAATTGGCGCAAAGTCAGGCCAAGACCATCCAGGATGACGTGGCTGCTCTGTTCCGTTTCTTCAACTTCGACGGTTCAGAGCCAAAGGTCATTGACAACATCAGTGTAACCCTAAACCTACGACCCCTGCCGGAGCCAGAGGACGACGCAGCTCTGGAATACAATAGGGTAGAGGGTTTGGGGTTTAGGGATCACTAGGTTTAGGGTTTAGGGTTGAGGGTTGGGGCTTAGGGAATAGTAGGTCTCGGGTTTGGGGGTGTAGGGTTTATCAAGTTTAGGGATGAGGGGTGGGGGGAAGTGTGGGGTTTGGGGATTATTAGGTTTAGGGATGAGTGTTTGGGATTCACGGGTTAGGTTTAGGGTTTCGGGCCGGGATTTTGTAGCATTGTGCCGGCAGAATTCTCACGGGAGGACGGTTTTGGTTCCGTTTGCAGCTTCGAAGTTCAGCAGCAGCTAGTAGCTCATTCGATTGATGCACCAAATAGAAGCATAATTTAGTAAAGCTGCTCTATGCTTCAAGGCCCAGCAGACTCGTACATGCTGTAAACCCCATAAACCTTGAACTCTAAACCCTAAACCCTAAAACCCTAAGCCCTAAACCCTAAACCCTAGTAAGCCCCATAAGCCATGAACTCACCGCAAGAAAATCGCAGAAAAGCCATGAGCCTGTTGCCGAAGCGACCAGAAAACATGATTCCCCCTAAACCCTAAACCCTAAACCCTAAAACCTAAACCCTAGGTGGCCAGGGAGCCGGTGAGGACCTGTTGTTCTCGAAGAGCTTAACCCTAAGGCTCCATGTGCCCATATAGTAGCTACTTAGGCCTCAAAGTACCCCTTTAGGGACCCCTTTAAGGCCTAAGTATCTACTATAAAGGTACATGGAGCCTTTGGGTAAGTGGTTCTAGGAAGGCTTTGACAGCGTTTTGGCAACAGCTTTATTGGTTTTCTTGCGGGGTTCTACCGTACAGAGATGTTACATGGTTTTTGGGTTGTATCGGGTTTTACAGGGCTTGATAAGGTTTGAAGCCAAAAGGGGTTTTGTATGGTTGTGCCGGGTTCTACGAGAAGGTTTCTTGAACACATGTAAACAGACGTACTCATGGTAAGAATCCAGTGATTATCCCAACAATGATGATCGCGCTGGCTTTATAGTCTCAAGTATCATTTCTTGTTCAACAATGCGATTTGCAGAGTTTTACAGGGTTCCAAGAGTCTATAGGATTGGACGGAGTTCGGTGGGATGTTCAAGGGTTTGTTTAGTTTTATCATCGGAGGGTTCCTGGTCACCATTTGGTATACTTAATTCTGTTGTTGCTATTAGCTTAGCTGTATCATTATTAATGGTATTGGTCTAATAATAGCAATTATTATTGCTTGTTTTGTTGTTGATGTTGTAGTTACTTACGTACTCATTTCCAATATTGTGACTACCATTGTTCTTATACTTGATGTTGGATACCCGAAAGCCCAGCTCATACATATCCCAAACGGAAACCCAGTCAATCCGACCCCCTGAATGCGCAAGAAACTCTGACCCCTACATACTTCAATACCCCCACAACCCCGAGCTTATCATAGCCCCAACCCTCAACCATAAACCGTGTACCTTCAACTTGCAGAAATCCAGCCTACATCCCAAAGCGCTCCACCCTACATAAACCCGGTACCCTAAACCCCCCCCTGCTGAACCCGATGCCCTAAACCCTAAAACTCTGTACCCTAAAACCCCTTTGAACGCGAAGCCCTAAACCCTAAACCCCAAAACCCCCCTGAACCCTAAACCCTAAACCCGAAGCCCTAAACCCGAAGCCGCCTATTCCAGAAGACCTTCCGCTGCCCTTCTCCTTCTCGGATGATCCGCGTACAGCCCGACCAAATCTTGCACAGGAGCCGAACTGGCTGGATGCGGTACAGGATCGCCGTCCTCTACGTGGTCGCCCTTCCACCTCTGATGTACACCATGGCCGTGACCCCTCCTCGCTTACCACACCGAGATCCTCGCAGGGGCTCATTCGCGGAAAACGTTTACGTCATGGAATTGATCGTTGGCACCACCCTGACGGTACTATCAGGTCTAGGCTGAAGGAGCGATTGGCTGCCGAAGAAGCTGCTGCAGCGTCAGATCAGGGTGACCAAGCAACTCCCGCCGAGGCGCCAGAGAACGAGCAGACCGACCCTACTGCACCCTTCACCATCACGGGCCACTCGTCCTTCCAGGGCGAGACAACAGTCAAAGCGACGACATATTACGGTGTGGAATTCCAGGTACGGTGCGGCATGCCAGGCATCTCGGACGACTCGACCACTGATACCTCCAGTCACGAGACCACAAATGACACGGGTGGCTGTGGAACATCGTCGAACTCCTCTTCGCCCCCAGTAGGATTTTGGCAGCATGGACTGTGGGTTGCCCGACCTCGTACCCCAAGTGAGCAGCGAGCTCACAGAGGAGGTCAAGGACCCCAAAGAATGCAGCGAAAGGCGTCCCGCATGGCAGCATATCAAGCTGGAACTTGGAGGCCGGCGTGGCTGACAAGGTACATAGAGGAGAAAAAGCAGAGGGAGGCCACCAACGATCCAGCCGATGCGTTCAATGGGGGTGACGTTCAGGATGATGCTACCCTACATGTTCAGCCCGACCCCGCTACACTGAACACTCCCTCGGCTGAACCCACGGAACTCACTGATGTGGACCCATGGTCAGCTCAATGGCAGCATCAGTCCTGGATTGGATGGCAGGACTGGGGGACTTGGTGGGAAACTACAGACAATGGGTGGTCGTCGTGGAGCACTTCGTCCTCGTCTTCGCATTGGCTCTGGACTACTACCTCGTCGTCAAAGGCCCCACCCACTGAGTTTCCTCCCAACCATGGGCTCTTCCCTGACGTTAATCCTGTGCCACCAATAGATGAGGAATGGAATGGATTGATGCAGCGTAGAGGTGCTGAACGGGCCAGACTGCAAGAAGGTGGCATAGCCAACTCGGCCATTGACCGGGTCGAGCACTTACTGTTGGCTATGGACGACCATGCAGCAGCTGATGCGGGGCCAGAAGTTCGCTGGGCCCTGTGCAGACTGCTGCAACGTGCGGAAGAAGCCACCAACAGCATCGACTGCCTTATGGAGATACTACTTCGTCGACTTCGCCCTCGCGGTGTTTGGCCAATCATCAGAGTGCCACGAACTGAGCTGGAGCAGTGGAGGCGCTTTAATTGGATCAGACAGTACACGACGGTGTTCACCTCCACCCTGGAACGCCACTTGTCAACGCCGTTGCAGCCGCAGGAACGTCTAGAGTCCCCACCCCGCCCGGCCCCTCCGATCACTGCTTCTGAGCTACCAACACCCCCCTCCTCTTCTTCGGGACCTGCGCCAAGAAGTGATGCAGACACAGGGGTGATGGCCGTGCCCGACACAGGTGATGATGAGGGTGACAATACAGCAGCGTCGCCCTCGTCCTCCTCGTCCCCCTCGGTGAGAGTGAGAAACAGATCGAGGTCAAGGACGCCACCTGTGAACCTCAACTCTTCCGCTACCACCGGCAGCTCAGCAGTCTCCCTCCCACCGCTGGGACCTCAGACAACTCGTGCTCTTGCGGGGGAACTTTTGGGAATCTGGACAGAGCCTTCTTCCACCTCCTCTACGACCTTGGCCCCCTCCACTTCAACGACGTCTGTGGTATGGTTGGATGAACTGGAGCATGGGGGTTGGAGTGTGGGCACTTCCATATCAGCGTCTTGGATGCCAGAAATCAGCTCGGCTACCTGGACTCACGCTTCGGAGCACAGCTCGTCGTCCTCGCCTACTGTACCAACCTGGAGTACATTGCCGTGTGGTACTACCTCGCCGTGTTGGACTACTTCGCCGTGTTGGACTACCCCACCGTCCGGGAGTACCTCGTCGAGCTGGACGCCCACGCCATTCTCGCCTCCTTCTCCGTGCTGGACCACCCCGAGCAATGGAACAACCCGGTATGTGGAGTGCTCGCCTGGTTGCCTTGGATTAAGGACATCGACTACCACCTCCTCCGAGGCGCTCCGGCCAGAGGACGTAGTCAGAGACACCGTCAACAGGCAGATCCTCATGGCCAACCGAGCTGATATCATTGACTTAATTCACCGCCTCTTGGCAAGACAGAGGAGGCTACAACACTTGCTTCGGCTACTGGGAGTGGCGATCGAGGAGACCCTACCGTGGCTTAATACGGTGCCTGCTGCACATGTTCTCAATGCGCCCACTCTGGAGGCCCAGATCTGGGAATGCATTGCCAGGGAAGCGTGCTTTGGCAGTGGGGAGTCGACTTCGGGAACCACACAGGAAGTCCGTGGACTTTGTGCTCTTCTTCGTCCTGGCCTTCCGTCAACATTGGGGGACTTGTGGGATGTCCTGCCAGGTGAAGAACGACACACGGTCGTGGGGCTCCGACGTCGTACTTGGCAACACACGGTGCGGCGCCTCCATGAAGCTCATGGGCAAGTGGTTCCAGCAGGGCGATGGCCGTCGGAAAATGACAGGGAACTGTACCTAATTCAGCAGAATGAGTCGGCTGACCTTGGTCTCCTCCCTGGCGTCCCCCCTCCACCCGTACTACCTGGCCGAGCTGGTGCACGACATCGTCGTCGACTACGTGTTCCGCGTCCGCCACCCGTTGTTCGTCCTGAAGTTCGTCAACTCAACGACGTGGGTGACGTGACCATTGGTAGCAGGTTCCAGATTCGGGGAGATGTTGTGGTTCCGGTTGGCTCTGTGATTATGGATGATGAGATCACAGAGCAGGCAGACGACACAGGGGAGGGCTCAGATGTATGTGAAGAAGAGGCTGAGTCGTCTGAACATGAGCCTGGAGTGAGTGATCAGGAGACTGGAGCTAGTGAACGTAGAGCACGCAGTAGAAGCCGTGACACGTGATGTAGCTCGGATGTTTTGACTTAGTGTAAGCCTGCACAAGGCAGGCTCCTGACTTGCAGCTGCAGGAGAAAGGGGGCCACTACACTTAAAAAAAAAAAACCCGAAGCCCTAAACCCGAAGCCCTAAACCCTAAACTCGAAACCCTAAACCCGAAACCCGAAGCTCAGAGGAGCCCCTGCTTTCTTGGCCCACAGCTGCGCAGGGAACCCCGAGAGTTACACATCTTTTTCTCGGGTTCTTTCAAAGGGGGTTCGGGGTTTAGTCCGAGGGTCTCAGCGATTCGGCAGGGTTTTAGGGTTTTAGGGTTTTAGGGGTCTTTAGATTTAGGGTTCAGGGTTTTCGGGTTTAGGGTTTAGGGTTTAGGGTCTAGTCCCAGAATTTTAGGGTTTAGGGCGGTAAACGTACTACAACGGTCATACAGAGTATTCTGTTGGTTTTATAAGATCCTGGGTTGACGCCTCAAGTAACTTGGCAGGGGTGTCTTTAAGATTTTGGGTTTAGGCTTTAGGGTTTAGCTTCTTGAGGGGTCAAGGGACTTCGCAAGTACTTGATTACGGTTGTATGTGGCTAACCCTAATGTAGGGACCTGATTAAGAAACCCTATAACCCCAATATATTAGGGTTCATCTTCAGAACCCTAATGAACGCCCAGGGTTTCTGAATCAGGTTCCGACATAAACCCCTAAAGCCCTAGGCCCAAACCCAAAACCCAAGATTCAAAGCCCTAAACCAAACCCTAAAGCATCAGATTCCGATATTATGCCAGCTGCCCCTAAACCCTCAACCGTAAACCCTAAACCCTACACCCTAAACCCTAAACCTGCTTACAGCCCCAAGCAGAATGGACTTACGAGATCCCACGATCCTTCAAGTATGGGCCTGATCTTCCCAGAGAGCCCAATACCCTTAACTAAGGAACATCCCTTAAATTATTGGGGCCTTAAGGAATATACCTTAAATTATAGGGCCCTTAAGGAATATACCTTAAATTATAGGGCCCTTAAGGAATATACCTTAAATTATGGGGCCTTAATATTATGGTTTCAGGCATGTTGCCGAATTAAGGGGTATTGGGCTCTCTGGGTTTGGGGTCAAAGACTGTCTAAGCCCTAAAGCCTAAACTCACAGCAGGCCTTAATATAGAGGCCTAACTAATACCTCCTATTTTGGAGGTTCCTTATTATAAGTATAGTATAATGGGCTCCTAAACCCCAAACCCTAAACCCTAAACCAATTCTAACTATTAAGGCTTCTACAGCATACTGATGAAGCCGATAAGGACACCTTCGTCAGTGACTACCTGAAAGTAGTGCAGGGGTAGTTCCGGGGGAGTTCGTCTGAAGGTGTTCCGCAACCCCCCGAAACCCTAAACCCCAAACTTTCTCAACCCAAAACCCGAAACCCCAAACTTTCTCAACCCAAAACCCGAAACCCCAAACTTTCTCAACCCAAAACCGAAACCCCAAACTTTCTCAACCCTAAACCCGAAACCCCAAACTTTCTCAACCCCAAACCCGAAACCCCAAACTTTCTCAACCCAAAACCCGAAACCGCAAACTTTCTCAACCCAAAACCCGAAACCCCAAACTTTCTCAACCCTAAACCCTAAACCCCAAACTTTCTCAACCCTAAACCCGAAACCCCAAACTTTCTCGAGCCTAAACCCGAAACCCCAAACTTTCTCAACCCTAAACCCGAAACCTCAAACCCTAAAGCACAACTTGCAAAGGTGGGAAGCTTTGGCGCATCCGTTGGTCGCCCACTCGGCGAAAGGGCAGAACGCCGAGGTCTCGGGCTAAGAAGGAAGGGACCGCTTTAGGAATCAGGGTTTAGGGGTTTAGGGTTCAGGGAGCGTAAGATAAAAGCCTGAAGCATTACCAATACTTCTCCTTACTTAGGGTTCCTTACTGTGACAATACTATAATATACTCCAACACCCTATCCTAATTGTTACCTGTAACCGAAAAGACCTACCTTTCTGAGGAACTAGATAGAGAAACCATCATAAAGAACCTCAAAAAAAGGAAGTTCTTTTCGGCTACATGTAAGGCCCCGATATTCGCCAGCCCCTTTCATGTTCCGGCTTGCTGGCCTTTGCTGTCGGGTTGTGATAGGTTTTGGGTACAGGGGTTCGGGCTTAGGGCTTAGGTTTAGGGTTAAACCCCGAACCCCAAACCCTAAAACCCCTAAACCCTAAACCCCTAAACCCTAAACCCTAAACCCCTAAACCCTAAACCCTAAACCCTAACCTACAGGGGTTCGGGTGCTTCAGGGAAAGTAGACTTTGGGGTGATTCCACGCAGAATGCTCGATTACCGCGTTCCTGGTGGGGGGACCAAGCTTAAGGTAGCCTGGAGGGCAGACATACTTTTGATGATATATAAATCCTGTGTTCAACCCTGCATTACCTGAAGGACCCGAAGCTATGGGATAATGGTATATTCCTTATTATGGGTAATGCAGGGTTTATATCATCAACTATGCACCCGTATTCTGCTGTCTCGAGCTGGTTCCGCAACAAATCTCCAGAGCAAGCACCGCAACGCGATTAAATTTTGCAACACATCACCCTAAACCCTAAACCCATAACCCTAAACCCTAAACCCTAAACCCTACAGGCCTTGGAAAGTTCTAGCCTGGAAGTGTAGTCCTCGATCGAAAGATCCTGAGATTTCAGGAGCTGCTGTTTTTTTTTCGGGCCCCTCCCCCCTCATCCAAGCCTGCAGTAAGGCCTAAACCGTATCAACTACATGAAACCTCTAAACCCTAAACCCTAAACCCTAAATAGACTATATGCCCTAACCCCCTTTTGCCGGGTCCTCGTTGTGGTCTTGTTGGTCGGAACAGGTTGGTGGTGCTGTTCATGGTTGTGGTTTGGGGTTCAGGGTTTAGGGTTATGATTGGTAGTCGTATGCCCTTGCAGTGCCTATGTAGTTGTACAATACACGTGCATCGTAAGGGAACTGGACAGGGCATCAGGCTGTCACCCAGGAACGGTGTTTCCTGTCGCCCTCAGTTTTCGTTTGCATGCCTTTGAGCTAAGCTACGAGCCTTAAACCCTAAACCCTAAACCTTGAACCCTAAGCCCTAAACCCTACGAGCACAAAGCCCTGAACCCTAAACCCATCTCAACCCTTACGCAGGCTGCTGAGTCCTCCGCTCCCTTACAGCCTGCCGGGAGCCTTGGTAGGTTTCGGTTGAGGTTTTGTAAGAGCTTCTGAAAAGGGCTTCACTAGGGGTCAGGGTACGGGTTTTATGCGGTTTCGGGTTCAGGGGAATATTGGGGATAAGGTCCCTGGTTTAGGATTTGGTTCTGTAAGGGGGTTTTGTAATGCTACCAGGCTACCAGGGATCTGCAAGGGTTTCCGGGTGTAATGTAGGAACCTGATTAAGAAACCCTGGTCCTTCGTACCCCAAATATTAGGATTCATATAAAGACCCCTACTAAAGATCCAAGGTTTCTTAATCAGATTCCTACATCAAACCCTAGCCTAGAACCCTAAACGTTGAGGGTTCAGGGTTGAGGGTTTAGGGTTGAGGGTTTAGGGTTGAGGGTTTAGGGTTGAGGGTTCAGGGCGGCCGCGAGCCCGAAACCGGAAGCCCCAATCAAGCAAGAAGCCGTCACTAAGGCTCAGCCCGAAACCTTGCGAAGCCCGAAGCAGTCGAGGGATATCGGTTAGGGTTTAGGGTTTAGGGTTTAGGGTTTAGGGTTTAGGGTTTAGGGTCAGGGTTTAGGGTTAGGGTTTAGGGTTTAGGGTTAGCAGGTTAGAAGCGCAAGACCCTGAATGGTTTGCATTCAAAGGCTTCAGGGTTGCTGATCCTGCGCTACAAGGTGACTTAGAATTTGGGGTTCATATAGAAGCCTGAACATATGCCAACATGATTCCTTTGGGTTCTTTAGTTCTTCATGATAGTTGCGGTACGGGCAAACTTTATGTTAAGAAAACTACGTTGCTGTTCCAGGGTCTGGGAACTTTCTGAACAGAACAGGTCGAATAAGAAATATACTTCCCTCCCGAGAGTCTGGTGTACATTTCTTAATTGCAGCCCCTGCTGCTGCCCCTGTTTCTGCCCTGACCAGTTCCAAAACCA